GAAAAAGTTCATCAAGAAACCCTATGAACGAAAAGAATTCAAGAGGGAAAGGTACCAGCCATCCTATGAAAGGAAACCATCTAAATTTCATCAAAGGAAGAAATAAGAGATGGAAGAGAAGAGAGAGAAGTAAGAAGAGAAGATAGAAGAGACGAGAGGAAAGAGGACAAGGATGGAAAGAAAAATGACCTCCGCTGCTTCAGGTGCGGAAAACTCGGTCATTTTTCCAAAGAATGCAGAGGACGACTGGTAAAGGATGCTGACTATTACAAGAATAAATACAAGTATAATCCTAAAGAGCGAATCCTGATGGCTGAGAAAGAAAATTGGGTGTCTGATTCTTCATCCGATGAAGAAGACAAAGCACTCATCTTTCTGATGGCCACGTCCACTGCAGAATCTGCCTCCAACTCTAATGATCAGGTATGTGAGTCTACTTCCAATGAAACCAACTCTGCTCCATCTGAGCTAGAGTTAAGGATAATAAAACTTTCAGAGGATCTCTTTAAATTAAAAGAGAAATAAAATTTTGAAAAATCTGAAAGAATAAAAGCGGAAAAAGAAGCAAGTTTCTACAAAAGAGAGACTGACCTTCTAACCGAAGAAAAAGCCGAATTTGCTAAGGAAAAGACTCGCATCACCACACTTAAGAAATCAGAGGAAGAAAAACTTCTGGAACTAAACAAACGAATAACTAAGGACTTAGAAGAGAAAACTTAGGCCTTAAAAGAATCCGAGGCAGATGGACTAAACTCAGTTGCTCTTAAAGATTTCTTTCAAAAGGAAAGGAAGATCCTTCACCAGAAGCTTCAAACCAATGAACTTCTGATGAAGAAGTACAAAGATGCCCAAGATGTGTATGAAAAGTTAAACGGTCAAACGAACACTCAAGGGATTGGATTCAATGAATTGGACTCCTTCATCGATTCAAAGAAATCAACCCTTGAATCCACCTTCAAGCTTGGATGCATTCAGAAACCCGACTTTATCTCGAAACCAAAAGCAAATTTTAAAAGAGTTAAAGTCGATGGAAAAACTGTCGTTTTAAGACAGGATTTTGAAAATGCGGTGTACGAGAGCAGTACATGTAAGAATTCTGATGAAAGAAATAACACCTCCAAATCAGAGACCGATGGAAACCTTATGGTCAAACCAGAGTCTCTGATTGTCAATCCCACTTCATCAGCAAGTACTGTTGATGAAAAGGAGAATCCTAATGAGGAACCATCAATTGATGAGTCGATGAATCATCCAAGTAAAACTAGAAGTTCATCCAAGTCAAAATCGATGGAACCTCAAATAGATCACTCTGAAGCATCAATCTCTGAACCCACACCTCCCACAAACATCCATGCTAATTTTGATTTTGAGAAATCAGCGAGAGACTTTCTCGATTCCGAAACTGAAGAGAAAACAATATGTGAATCACTAGTAATCATTAAGAATAAAAAACCTAAAAACTTCAAATCCTCAATGAAAACTGATGTTCCACCATCGATGAAATCTTCGGATAAAGGAAAGGGAAAGCTGAGAAATAGCAAATCTGCCAAAGATAACTCACAAGGCCCTAGTACACCCTTCAAGTTCATTAAGTTTACTCGTGAGCAAAAACAGAAATGGCCTGCCTCTGAGGAAACTAACCACCACTTTTCCTCTCATTCAGCTGAAGAAAAGCAGTCCTTCCTCAGGAGAAAAGAAGTAAAGACAAAGACCCCTTCAAATAAAAAATCTGAACTAGATAGGAAGTTTGTAAAAACAACCAATGCTAGGACAGGATTTACAACCCCTGCATTTACTTCTTTATTTTCAGCGAATAAAAAGAACGTTAGACATTCATGCCCAAAATATGATAAATGTCAATGTTTAGCTCTTTTACAAAACCTGAGGAATCACATGTTGACACATCACTGCCCATTCTCCCAACACGTTTATCGATACAAAGTTAAAACCAATGAGAACATGAAAAGCCCAAGTCCAAGGGCAAAGGAAATGCTAATAAACCAAATCCTGCAAAGGCTAAGGGAAATGAAAAGAGAGTGGTCTCTCCTACTAACAAATGTGGACCCATTAAGAAATGGTACCTAAAACCCTTTAATTTGTCTTGCAGGACCAGCATGTGCAACCATGGTACATGGCTTCAGGTTGCTCCAGGCACATGACTGGTGTCAAAAGTCAGCTGACCTCCTTCATCGAAAAATATGGTGGTTCTATCACTTTTGGAGACAACAGCAAGGGAACCATCAAGGGATACGAAACTCTCATCAAAGGCAACATCTCCATCAGCAAAGTGGCTTATGTTGAAGGTTTGAAGCACAACTAACTAAGCATAAGCCAGTTCTACGACAAGCGTCTTGAAGTCAGGTTCTGCAAAGGTTTCTGTATCATAGAGACAAAGCCCGGTCAAACCATTATCAAGGCCAAGAGAGAAAGGAATCTCTATGTTCTGGATTTTCAATCCTCTATGGGACAAGACACCCTCTGTCTTGTGTCTCATAAGAGCGATGAAAATTGGCTATGACATCAAAAGTTCTCGCATCTCAACTTTGATGCACTACGAAAACTAGCCACACAGAAGCTGGTCAAGGGAATTCTGGATCTTAAATTTGAAAAAGATCATCTATGGTCAGCCTATGAGATGGGAAAGCTAAGACGGGCCTCTCAAACTAAGTCAGAAACCTCCTGCACCAAGCCTTTGGACATGGTACATATAGATCTATGTGGGCCAATATCAACTCAAAGCCTCTCTGGAAAGAAGTACATATTAGTACTGGTTGATGAATACTCCAGATACACCTGGGTTGAATTTGCAAAGAAGAAATCAGATGTTCCTGACCTACTGATTGGAGTGATGAAAGGCTCCAAGTCCTTCTACAATGAAAGCTAATTAAGGTTAGAAGGGACAATGGAACTGAATTCAAAAGGGCCAGAATCGATGAATACCTCATCAGTGAAGGAATTACACAAGACTTTTCAGCAGCTAGAACTCCACAACAGAATAGAGTGGTGGAGCGAAGGAACAGAACCCTCGTGGAAGCAGCAAGGACCATGCTTGCTTCATCG